ATAGCACCTGAAGAAGAACTTGGAGGGGTCGGGTCATGGTGGGGATGGGTAGAGCATGGGACAAAACCTAAATAGCACCCATGACCCATGGTAAGCCCCGCCCACAGTGGGCGGGGCGTGCGTCGAAAGTTAGCGATGTCACTGAAAAAAGTCATAATCCAGAGCAGTCCCGAGATGAGGAAACAGTGCAGTGAAGTTAACAAAGGCCTGACCGACCAAACAGAGGAGACACACCCGAAATGGGCGGGGCGTACTTGAGATGGGCGGCGCTTCCCGTGTCACTGAAAAAAGCTATAATTTGGCTACAAAGCAGCCCGGAGACGGGAAAAAGTGGAATAAGGTTAGCATTGGGTTGGCAGAGCAAATGGAGGAGACACACCCGAAATGGGCGGGGCGTACTTGAGATGGGCGGTGCTTCCCACAAAGGTCGGTAACTCGGTTCCCGAAATAGATCAGAGATCGCAGAAAAGTCCATGACGAAGATGAACATCTGGCAAGAGTCCACCATGTTTGTGGCGTGCTGAGGCCCGCCCACAGTGGGCGGGCGTGCATTTGAACACGAGGTACCAGTAAAAAAAAAGTCGTAGTTTGGTCCTAAATCACGTTAAAGCTCGTTTAACAAAGACTGATAGTTACTAACAGAATGCGAGTTATGGGCAGAAGTCTGATCCTAGGCGGAACTCGAACCCGCACCTCACGCTTTCCGGGCGGGTACCGCCATCATGGCCGCTCTTACCCTCTCAGCTTTTATGCCGTAGCCTTACAACACTCACACGTTTAACATGGTGAGCCTATCAGCCGTACATTGTCGCCTCTTCTCTGTGAACGCAGTCGTATAGGCTTCATTACGGTGCTATCCTCCTTCGCATCTTTCCGGCTGACCAGGTTAAAAATAGATCATATTCCCACCTCTTCATATTATATGTATGATGTACAGATGTTTTCTGGTTGTTGTTTATTAAAGTAGGAAAATTACCTACTGTCTAAATACTTGTATACAGTATAATATGAAGTAACTTGGAATCGTAGAGTGTTGATGTACTGTACATTCAATGGGCTACACTTTAGGGACATCTGGAGTGACTCCAGATTTCACCAATCTCGCTGAATTACTACAGGATGCTGAATATGGACCCTTCAGACTGCCTTCGAAATGGGCAGAAGAAGAAAAGGAAGAGGTAGTGAAAACCCTTTAGCCAGCTGTTAGATCTCTGAAGGAAAAAGCAGTCGTTAAGGATGAGTACGTCTCTCAACGAGGTATCGATTGGTTAGAACGGCGGGCAATCGCGCACGTTCCTGAAACGATATACACGTTGGACGCGTCGGCTTATCTCGTTATGCGAAATCGGGAGGACCAACTAAAACCACCCGAAGTGAGGGAGAATATAACTGGTTTCGCAGTGATTTCCAACATTGTGCCAGATTTCAGGTTCGTGGTGGCCCTCGAGACGCCTTGATCGTGCACGCCACTGAGCATACATCTTCGGTTCTTTATCAAGAGGCATTCCTTGTTACCTATCGAACGTTCGTTTCATCACATGATCTCATTAACAAACTCATTTCAAGGTTTGTGCTCGGTTTCTATATGTGCATGTTTCTCTCGTGTACGCAGTACTACAATTCTTTACAACACCAAGTTGATCAAAAGTACTGACCAGGCTTGCTTACAATAACTTCGTCAATTTCTGTAATAGGTCTGAGACCTATAACTACAACTGTACAACTGAGAGCAACACTCCTAGAAAAGACCGACCTACCGCAATGACACCTTCCGCGCAACTAAATGTACTTAAAGGCACGGTTCGCATCAGGTATCGAAGTTGAAAATAAAGAGGTTAGTGGTCCGCGACGAACAATCCTTGTACCGGTTTCGCGGCAAAAATTCTAAGGGAGGGGCGCTATAGCGCAATATAGGTTCAGTGGTTCCTCCTTTTTCCAGTGACTCCGCCTCCAGACTCCGCCTCCAATGCCCGGCTTTCAGTGAAAAACGAGATTGCAGGACGAAAAAGCATGAAAATCGTCACTTGTACGATCGTAGAGTTCTTATCGGTGAATCAGCTGTGCGTATGAGGGCGTAGTGTGGGAGATAGAGTTAATTGGGCACGTACAAACTGGGATCAAAATGGGTTCTATCTAGGGCAGGTGGCATGTTTTTTGTGCTTTTTCTTCACTGTCGAGTTACTCAACCCCTTGTCGTCTATATGGAACCCCCTAATCCACTATCTGAGATGGCGAATAATCGTGGGTTCTACCTTTAAGAATGGGACGCACGTGAGAAATGTAAGACTTTTTTATCGCTCCCGCTAAACAATTCGCCTCATCACATCCATAAGCATATCCCTTTTGCTGATCTCGGAGGATAACCGCTTGATAGCGATTGCCTCGTATAACTTCCTTTCCCATGAATTTTTCCTTGTGCTGTGCAATAACGCGGCACTCTAACTGCACACTGTAGACCCTCAAGCATGCCCATCCTCCGGATAACCACGTCCTTGCCACCGCAAATATTATATAAACTTATATTTCACCATTATACACTATAATCAGGGTGTCCCAATACTTCGTGACATTTCCGAACTTTTTATGTTTATTTTGATGAGAAGCAGCTCTGATACAATATCTAGATATCACCTTCATCGGCAACTTGTTGCCAACCACCAAGCAAAGAGTGGTTGCCTTGCTCCCAGAAGCTTTTTGGTTCCGTGCCGAGAAAGGCAGCTAGGGTCATTCCTAAGATGCTTTTGAAAACCATGTTTTTTTTTACCCTGACGATGGCCGGCGAGGGACTAGTTTAGATGGCAGTGAGAAAGAACTTAGTCAGGGCTACACGAAAACTGTGGTGGGATTTCCCAACCAAAATTCAGGATCTCGAGCAGTGTCCTTTCCGGTACGTGTGTCCCTGAGGTGTGGTGAAGTAAGCAAACATGATGGGTTGTAGGACCAGAAAGTGGGGATTTTCATCCTCCCTTTGAAGTTGACTACAGCACGACTCGCTGGTTACCTTGTGAGGAAGAAATTCTCCGCGGCTAACCCTATCCTATACACAGTCTCACCGCCCTACTGGATTGATAGGATTGCGCGACCGGTTCTGCCCTTTCTGGAGGATCTAGCCACCGGCGCTTCCGGAATGGTTCATTTAGAGCCACTCCCTTCATATCCAGTGACAACCTTGTTCAACCAGTCTGTATGGTGGAGGCAGGAGAAAAGTTCAGACAGTATCCACATGCGCTCACCTTGAGCATCGGTCAACTCATGAAAAAACCTTCGAGTAGACCCAGGTTTTGCTATTGGTTTACAGAGATTTTTGCCTCCATGCCAACCAATCGCACTCTGCTATCATTTAACAAGTTTTCTTTTACAGATACGTGTTTATGTCCATGTCGTCCGATCGAGCATCGCAATCAGCTGCTCGATTAACGTTTTCCGTACTGGTACGAGTAGTGGACGAGTTGACAGCATACGAGCTGAATGGGGCCCTAATGCATACCGTCACCTCTTTCGTATATCGCCTTATTCAAGAAGGGAATCTTATATTTGCTCGTCTTTTGAGGTACCTTCTTTCCTCAAGTCTCAAGATGATAACATTTCATATCTCGCAGAAGGGGAGGGCGTGACTGCCCATTCAACCCACTGCACGTCGCATGTTCAAAGTTATTCAGCTTTTTTCGATGATTCAAAGGTGTCCTTATAGTTCTGAGGTCCTCGGGACAAAATATGTATGTGGGTAGTTGCGGGATTGAAGTACAGTCGTCATCCGGGCAGTTGGTTAGGCGGTCAAAGGGTCGCAGACGCGGCTGCGGCGCGTCACGACCGCGGCGATCAGCTGTCCCAGCCTGATTAGCCATTTTTCCTAAATTTTCACTGTATTATCTATTTTTTCTTTCGAAAGCGTTTTTTGTGTTCTTAT